TATATATATATATATATATATATATATATATATGTATATATACATATATACATATATATATATATATATATATATATATATATATATATATATATATATATATATATATATATATATATGTCTATATCTATCTATCAATCCATCTATCTACATGTCTATCCATCTATCTACATGTCTATCCATCTATCTAATGATCTATCTATATCCATCTATCCACATGTTTATCCATCTATCCAATGATTTATCTATTTTTCTAACAAACATCAAGCAATATTTATCTATCTATCTATCTATCTATCTATCTATCTTAACCATTTCTATGTCATATTTATCTTTATTCACTATGTATAGTTTTCTTTATCTAAAATATTTCATCATTAACGAATCATTTTCATTAATTTTCAACATTCTCATAAAGCAGCCATTATATCAATGAACATGAAAGTACACCGATAAACGAATAAATGATGAATAGGAATATACGTTGATAGGTAAATGTTCTTTATGTTTATAATTTGTTTGTTTTTTTTTGCGTTTTTTTACACTTCCAATGCAAAGATACGAATAAGAATAAGAATACAAAATAATGTTTTCCATTCTTAACATTATCTCAAATGCCATTCCATGTGTTTATCTTGTCGTTTGCATGTTTTATCTTTAGGAGACATTTGTGCAAGAGAAAGAATGAAAGATAGATAGAGAGAGAGAGAGAGAGAGAGAGAGAGAGAGAGAGAGAGAGAGAGAGAGAGAGAGAGAGAGAGAGAGAGAGAGAGAGAGACTGATAGACACAAACACAGACAGAGACAGACACCGAGACAAAAACAGAAACAGACAGAGAGAGAAAGAGAGAGACAGAGAATGATAAAGATGCCCCCCCCCACATCACCAACTCCCCCCCCCCCCCTACTACAGACAATCGAGAGACTAGCAATTACTCTCAAAGATAAAACGCAGACCAACCTAAATTCCCTCATTAACCAAGGCTGCCTCATAAAAACGCCTCACTCTTTTTTTTATATTCACCTTTTTCTCTCTTTCTCCTCTTCTTCTTTCGTCTCTTTCTCCACCCTTTCATTTTTTCTTTTTCTCCTTTCCCTTCTCTATCCCTTCTTCCCTCTTTACACTTCTCCCTTTCAGTTTTCCTTATGCCTTTCTTCCCTTTTACTCTCTCTTATCTTCCCTACCCTCTCTCTTCTCCTTCTTTCTCACCGCAACTTTCTTTCCTCTTTCCCTCCTCCCCCTCCCCCTTCCCTTCTCTTATCTCCTCCTCCTCCCCCCCTTCCCCTCTCTCCCTCATCGCCCCCTCCTCCCCCTTCCCCTCCCTTCCATCCTTTCCCTCCTTCCTCCCCTCCCTTCCCCCTTCTCCCCCCCCTCCCTTCCTCTCCTCCCCCCCCCGTCCCCGTCCCCGTCCCCGTCCCCGTCCCTGCCTCATACACCCGCCCTCCCCCTCCCTACCTCATACACCCCCCTTTCCCCTCCCTGCCTACCCCACCCCCCACCCCACCCCCACCCCCCACCAGCATCAAGTAAATACCAAGCCTTTAATTAAATTCTCACTCCCTAAATTTCGTCTTCCAGCTGTTCGTATTTGAGGTCAGAGAAGGTCGAGTTTTTTTTTATTTGAGAGAAAGAGAAAGAGAAAGAGAGAGAGAGAGAGAGAGAGAGAGAGAGAGAGAGAGAGAGAGAGAGAGAGAGAGAGAGAGAGAGAGAGAGAGAGAGAGAGAGAGAGAGAGAGAGACAGACAGACAGACACATATATAGATAGATAGATAGATAGATAGACAGACAGACAAACAGACAGAGATTAAGAGAGAAAGAACTAAAATAAACTGCAAAACCGCATAGCTACCTTCGTCATCTCAAGACTTCCTTTATATTTATGTAAATCATCTAATTTGCATCTCCATTTGGGCTGATTCAGAGAGAATAAAATTCCTAAGACAACAACAACAACAACAACAACAACAACAGCAGCAGCGTGCCCCCCCCTCCCCTTCCCCCCAACAGGAAATAACGAGTGAGTGCCAAGGCGATCGAGATGAGATGGGGGAGGTAGGTAGGTAAGTAGGTAGGTAAGTAGGGAGGTAGGTAGGGAGGTAGGTAGGGAGGGAGGGAGGTAAATGGATAGGTAGGTAGGTGGGTAAATGGGAAAGTAAGTAGGTAGGTAGGTAGGTAGGTAAATAATAAGGTTGGTAAGTAAGTAGGTAGGTAGGTAAATGGGTAGGTAGGTAGGTAAAAAATAAGGTAGGTAAATGAGTAGGTAGGTAGGTAAATAATAAGGTAGGTAAATAGATAGGTAGGAAGGCAAAGGGGTAGGTAAGTAAATTGTCAGGTAGGTAGGTAAATGGGTTGGTTGGTAGGTAACTAAATGGGTAGGCAGGTAGGTGGGAAATGGCGAGGTAAGTAGGTAGATAGACAAGTAAATGGGTAAGTAAATGGGTGGGTAAGTAGGTAGGTAAGCAAGTAAGTAGGTGCATAACATGAGAAAATGATTGTACATGCGCAAGTAGGTAAGAGAGGTAAGTAATGAGTCAAGTACATGCGTAAGTAGGTAAGAGAGGTAAGTAAGTATAATCTATGTTTTAGTATCTGTATAGATGTTTATGTATAAGAAGGTGTGTGTGCGCTTCTTGTGCTGTACGTGGAGGTATGTATATATACAAAACCTATATGCATGTACACACGCACGCACACAGACATATACACGCACAAACAGACAAGCGCATACACACACACACACACACACACACACACACACACACACACACACACACACACACACACACACGCGCGCGCATACACAAGCACATACACTTAAACAGACACAAAAACAAGCAAACACACACAAACAAATAAACAACTCCCATCCCCCCACACAAACAAACAAACAAACACAATCTTCCCCAATCACCTCCACCTCCTCAGAAGAAAAAAAACAAACCCTATCTACATTTTTTCCTTCTGTCTTTCTCTCCTCTTAAAATCACTCACACAAAACCTCAGCCTATCCATCAGGCTTTGCTTTCAGTCCCGTGCTCCCTTATGCCTTCCCATTTCTCCAAGCAAGCACCGGGTTTTCCTTCGCGCTTGGAAAACACATCAGACTAAAGGAATTGGAGATATTGTGTTGTCGTCGATTCATGGCTGAGAGAGGGAGAGGGGAGGGAGGGAGGGAGGGAGGGAGGGAGAGGAAATGGGTGGGGGAGATGGGAGGGAGGGAGGGAGAGGGAATTGGGGGAGGATGGGGGGAGAGAGCGGGAATGGAGGGAGGGGGAAAGGGGGGGAGGGAGGGAGGGAGGGAGGGAGAGGGAAATTAGGGGGGGAGATGGGAGGGAGAGGGAAGTGGGGGATGGTTGAGGGAAAGAAAGAAAGAAAGAGAGAGAGAGAGAGAGAGAGAGAGAGAGAGAGAGAGAGAGAGAGAGAGAGAGAGAGAGAGAGAGAGAGGTTTAGATGTTAATTATGCATGTAAACCCATGTAATAACAGCAGCAATAATAATAATAATAATAATGATAATGATAATAATAATAATAGTAATAATAACAATGATATTTATCACCATCATAATAATTATAATAACAAAAACCCTAATTGCCTTTCCCTTCCCCCCCAACCCCCCACCCCCCTAAAACCACAGCCACACGAACCCAACCAGGCTAAAAGGCCAAAGCAGAGGCCATTAGCACTGATACAGTACGAAGCAAGGAGTGTCTTTTAACAAGCGAGTCACTTCGGCCTCCGTTCCCCCCGCCCCAAGTCTTAGTCGTTAGGATAAAGTGAATGGCTGCCTGTGACTAACCCGCCTTTGATACTTCCTGGCCTGTTAATCAAGGCTATTAATTCAGTTGGTACCCTAAAACGCATTTAACATCAAAGGGAGAGTTTATGCTTTATCGTTAGGGTGGGTGGGAGGGTGGGAGGGGGAAGGGGGAAGGGGGAAAGGGGGAAAGGGGGAAAGGGAAAGGGGGAAGTGGGGGGGAAGGGGGGAGGGAGGTTTAACAACCGAATCAGTAAATAGGTTTAGGTGAATAGGTTTAATGCCAGTTTCGTTTATTCTCTCTCTCTCTCTCTCTCTCTCTCTCTCTCTCGAGAGAGAGAGAGAGAGAGAGAGAGAGAGAGAGAGAGAAGGTGAGAGAAGGTGAGAGAAGGAGAGAGAAGGTAAAAGAGGAGAGAGAGAGAGAGAGAGAGAGAGAGAGAGAGAGAGAGAGAGAGAGAGAGAGAGAGAGAGAGAGAGAGAGAGAGAGAGAGAGAGGAGAGAGAAGGAGAAAAAGAAGGAGAGAGAGAAGGAGAGAGAAGGAGAGAGAGGAGAGAGAAGGAGAGAGAGGAGAGAGAAGGGGAGAGAGAGAGAGAGAGAAAGAGAGAGAGAAGGAGAGAGAGAGAGAAGGAGAGAGAGAGGAGGAGGAGGAAGAGGGAGGGGAAAGGAGGAGGAGGAGGAGGAAGAGGAAGGAGGGGGGAGGGAGGGGAGAGGAGAAGGAGGAGGAGGAGGAGGAGGAGGAGGAAGAGGGAGGGGAAAGGAGGAGGAGGAAGAGGAAGGAGGGGGAGGGAGGGGAGAGGAGAAGGAGGAGGAGGAGAAGGAGGAGGAGGAGGAGGAGGAGGAGGAGGGACGGGCGGGAAAGGCGGTGCGGCGAGGAACGAGGCCCGGAGGAGTGCGGGAGCAGGCAAGGATGTCAGGCGGCGGCGGCTGCGGCGGGGCGTGATGCAGAGGGCGGGGCAAGGTCTGAAGGCGGCGGCGGTGCGGAGCAAGACGGGCTGGGAAAAGGGCGGCGGAGGCGGCGGCGGAGTAGTCGGGCTTTCTTCGGGCGGATTCCGGGATTGCGTGGCGGGGCACGGCGGGACGAGGCGTCTGCTGCCGGAGCCGCGGGAGGGGACCCGGCTGCGGCTGCTGAGGAGTGAGGCGGAGGCGGCAGCGGGCTTCCCCGGTCCGGCGTCGCGGCGGCTGTCTGAGGAGGCGGCTGAGGGGACGGGCCGGGCGGTGCCGGAGGCAGCGGAAGGCGGCGGCATTATTGCCCGGGCGGGTCACCGGCGGGCGTAGGCCGCGGCCGGGTGGGCGGTAGGGGAGACGGCGGACGGAGGCGGGGCGGAAGGCAGCCGGGCGGAGGCGGAGGGAGGAGGAGTCGGCGGCTGAGGAGGGCGGGAGGGCTGTGGTACGGCGGAGGCGGCTTAAAGTGAAGGAGCCGGAGGGAGACTGGACACTCTCGGCGGAGGAGGCGGCTGGCGGCGGAGGGCGGACGGAGACGTGGAAAGGAGAGGAGGATGATGATGGATGAAGGAGAGAGAGAGAGAGTTAGAGATTTTCAAATAAATTTTCCAAACGTAAATTCACGATGGAAGATAAGGGAAAAAGAGGGAAAGAGAAAGAGGAGGGAGGGGAGGGGAGAGAGAAAGAAGAGAAGAAAAGAGAACAGCTACATACAAGCCAATAGAAGAGGTCGGGCGGGAGACGAGGCAGTTTGGTTAGCGAGAAGTGATTGAGAGACGAAGAAATACAGCAGAGCAGAGAGCGCGCAAAAGAGGGAAAGGGAATGTGAAGTGAGTACAAAATGTACCCCCCCTACTCTGCAGGCCAATAGAGCAACTACACTGCAAAGCTGGCCACGGAATCAGAGAAGAGAGCTCGAAGGAGAAGAAGAGGAACGAGAAAAGAAAGAGAGGGATAAGGGAAGAGACGGAAGACGGAGGAGAAAGGAATGGGCAGAGAAAGGGAAATAGTTCGACACGAAAGGAGAGAGAGAGAGAGAGAGAGAATAGGAGAGATAGAGATAGAGAAAGAGAGAGAGAGACAGAGACAGAGACAGAGACAGAGACAGAGACAGAGACAGAAAGACAGAGACAGAGAGACAGAGTCAGAGTCCGAATCAGAGACAGAGCCAGACACCAAGAGACAGAAACATACAAAGAAAGAAGGAAAGAGGAAGGGAAAAAAATCGAACACCTTTTTAACCAAAGTTCCTCCAAAAAAAAAAAAAAAAAAAAAGAAAAAGAAAGAGAAAGAAAATTTTAAACAGCTGAGAGTCGCGTTACATCTTTAGGAAGTTAAGGAGACATAATGAGCTTCCTTGCCTTGCCTGTTTACATTAAGTGTCGTTTGGTGCTTGGGATTATTATGGCCGTTGTTGTTGAAGGGGTTTATCCATTTGTCTGTTGGTTTGTTTGTCTGTGTTTGCTTGTATGTTTGGTTTGGGTGTCTTACATTTTTTTGTTTTGTTTCTGTTTGTTTGTTTGTCGGTTTATCTGTCTGTTTGTTTGTCTGTTTATCTGTCTGTCTGTCTCTTTTGCCCTCTCCCCTTCTACCTACTCCCTCTCCCCCCACCCTCCTTCCCACTGCCTCCGTACCCCTCACTCCCTCCCACTCTCCCTCTCCCTTTTTCCCTCCCTCCCTACCTCCCTGTCCCCTCCCCCACCCTCTCTACCTCCCCTCTCCCTCCCTACCTCCTATACCCTCCCCCTCTCCCACCCTCCCTCCCTACCTCCTCCCCCTCCCCCCCTTTTCCTCTCTACCTCTCCTCTCTCCCCATCCTCCCTCCCCCTACTCCCCTCTCCCCCTCTCCCCCTCTTCCTCTCTCCCTCTTTCTGAAACACACAACATAAGCTCTTCATAATGACACATATCACTTCGCTCTCTGAATGCATAAGATTACACAGAAAAAACGAATGTTCAAGTTATATGTAGGAAGAGAAGGAATAAAGACATGAGGATAAAAGAGATAACCTCTCTCTTCTTCTGTTTCCTTCTCTTATCTTCTTTTTTCTTTTCTTTTTTTTCCTTTTCTTTTTTCTTTTTTTAATTATTTTTCTTCTTTTTCCTTTTATTTCTTTTTCATCCTATCTTCTTCTTTTCTTCTTCTTCTTCTTCTCCCCTCCTCCTCCTCCTCCTCCTCCTCCTCCTCATCCCCCTCCTCCCTCCTCCTCCTCCTCCCCCTCCTCCTCCTCCTCCCTCCTCCTCCTCCTCCCCCTCCTCCTCCTCCTCCTCCTCCTCCTCCTCCTCCCCCTCCTCCTCCTCCTCCTCCCCTCCTCCTCCTCCTCCCCTCCTCCTCCTCCTCCTCCTCCTCCTTCTCCATCTCTTCCCTCTTTCTCCTCTTCATCATAACAAGAGTAGTATTGAAAAGAACAATGCTAATAATGCAACTACTACTATTAGTAATGGTAAAATTAACAAAAAGAAAAACAGAGATAACAACAGTGATGAAAATAATAATGATAATAACGATAAAAAACGATAATAATAATCATAATAACAATCATCACTATCACACATTATGACGATGATAAAATAAATCAATAAAAATAACAATAAAGATAAATAAAGGAATAAATAGCTAAATACAAAAGAAACAGCCAAACATACAAATAAAGAAATCGAACCTGCAAATAAAACATTAATGATGATAAACGAAAACTTCAAAGTGAATGAAAAGTGTATCGTAAGGTCTCGTCCTCTTCAGAAGTAGTTCCTCGAGTCTCAGAGGAAAACCGGGATCTGAGGACAACAAGGAAGAGGAGGAGGAAGGAAGGAGGGAGAGAAGGTGAGAGGAAGGGGGGAGGGGGGGAGGGGGGGGAGGGAGAGAAGGTGAGAGGAAGGGTGGGAAGGGAGTGAAGGAGGGGGAGGGAGGGGAGAGAGAGAAAGAGAAAGAATGAGAGAGAGAGAGAGAGAGAGAGAGAATCAAAGACAGAAGCATATGAAAAACAAAACAAAACAACTCCCCCCCCCAAAAAAAAATCCTTCCAACCAAAGAGAAAGACATCAAAGAACACGCAAAAAAAAAAAGAAAAAAAAACATACAAACAAACAAACAAAAGGAAAACCAACAAAGTAACAAGAAAGAAACAAAGAGAGAGAGAGAGAGAGAGAGAGAGAGAGAGAGAGAGAGAGAGAGAGAGAGAGAGAGAGAGAGAGAGAGAGAAAGAGAGAATATAAGCCACCACAATGACACAAAAATAATAATAATAAAAATAGAAACAATGTACTCTTCTTCAAGACAGAGATACAAGGAGACAGAAGCGCGGGGGGTCAAGGGAACAGCTGTTATTACACCGATAGAGAGGGAGGGGGAGGGAGGGGAGAGGAGGAAGAGGAGGAGGGAGGGAGGGGAAAGAAGGGGGAGGAGGAGGAGGAGGAGGAGGAGGAGGAGGAGGAGGAGGAGGAGGAGGAAGAGGAAGAGGGAGGGGAAAGGAGGAGGAGGAGGAGGAGGAGGAGGAGGAGGGAGGGAGGGGAAGAAGGGAGGAGGAGGAGGAGGAGGAGGAGGAGGAGGAGGAGGAGGAGGAGGAGGGAGGGAAGAGGGGGGAGGAGGAGGAGGAGTAGGAAGAGGAAGGGGGAGGTGGGAGGGGAAGGAGGAGGAGGAGGAGGAGGAAGAGGAAGGAGGAGGAGGAGGGGAAAGGAGAAAGAGGAGGAGGAGGAGGAGTAAAAGGAGGAGGGAGGGAGGGGGGGAGGAGGAGGAGGAAGAGGAAGAGGAAGGAGGAGGAGGAGCAGGAGGAGGGAGGGGGAATGAGGAAGAGGAGGAGGAGGAGAAGTAAAAGGAGGAGGGGGAAGAGGAAGAGGGAGGGGAAAGGAGGAGGAGGAGGAGGAGGAAGAGGAGGAGGAGGAGGAGGAGGAGGAGGAGGAGGAGGAGGAGGGAGGGAGGGAGGGAGGGAGGGAGGGAGGGAGAGAGGAAGGGAGGGAGAGGAGGAGGAGGGAGGGGAATGGAGAAGGAGGAGGAGGAAGGAGGGAGGGGAGAGGGGAGGAGGAGGAGGGAGGGGAAAGGAGGAGGAGGAGGAGGGAGGGGAAAGGAGGAGGAGGAGGAGGAGGGGGAGGGGGGGAGGAGGGAGGAGGGGGAAAGGAGGAGTAGGAGGAGGAGGAGGAGGAAGGAGGGGAAAGCAGGAGGAAGAGGAGGAGGAGGGAGGGGAAAGGAGAAGGAGGGGAAGGAGGAGGAGGAGGAGGAGGAGGAGGAGGAGGAGGAGGAGGAGGAGGAGGAGGGAGGGAGGGGAAAGGAGGAGGAGGAGGAGGGAGGGAGGGGAAAGGAGGAGGAGGAGGAGGGAGGGAGGGGAAAGGGCGAAGTGGGAGGGGAAAAATGGAAGTAGGGGAAAGGAGGGGAAGGAAGGGCGAGAGAGGGCGGAGGGAGGGAGGGGAGGAGGAGGGGGAGGGAGAGAAGGAGGGGAGAGGGAGTGAGAGGAGGGAATGGGGAGAGAGAAGGAGGGGGGCGGGAGGGTAAGGGAGAGGGAAAAAGGAGGTGGGAAGAGAAAAGGAAGAAGGATGGAGGAGGAAGGGATGGGAAAGGAAGGATGTAAAAAAAAGAAAGAAGGGAGAGAAAGAATAAAGAGAGAAAGAGCAGAGATAGAGAAAGAGAAACAAACAGACGAAGAACCAAACAGAAAGAGACAACCAGACAGACAAATAAAGACGACAAGAACAAGGAAGAGAGAGAAATAGAAAGAGAAAGAGAGAGAGAGAAAAAATCGTTTAGGGCGAAAGGTGCTTAATGCAAAATACGACCCGGTTCCCCCAAAGAGAAAAGGGGAGATGATGAAACAGGAGATAAAAATAGTAATAGTAAAGAAGGGAAGAATGACAAACACGCGATAGAAGGTGAAAATGCGACCGCTAATAACTAAGGAAGAGGGAAGGAGGCGAGGATGCAGAGGAGAAGGAGAAACAGGCGGAGAGAGAGAGAAAGAGAGATGCAGGAAGGAAAAAAGGATAGATAAAAGAAGGGAAGGAGGGAAATAGGGAGAAATGGATAAAGAGAGTGGATAGAAAAATAGCAATAATAATAGAGGGAGCAAAAAACAAGAAGGAAAAGATTTTTGATTAATTGTGCGGATTGGAGATAAGAAAGGGTGACCGTATGACATGAAATAAATGGGAATTGAGAGAAAGGCAAAGAAAATAAGAGATATGAAGGAGAGAAAGTAAAGGAAGGGAGGATGGGATGAAGACGAGGAGGCAAACGTACAAAAAGAATTTATATCTATATCTATATCTACTCTCTCTCTCTCTCTCTCTCTCTCTCTCCTCTCATATATATATA